CACCAGGCTTGCTGGAGGTTGTGGAGATGAACCTTTTTCAGAGGGAGAAAAGTATTTCAGAGTAGGAATTGGTAGGGCTGATCAGTAGAGCTTTAAACTAGATTCAAAGGAAGTGAAAGGATAAAACCTAGCCTAAGGGACAACTTGCCAACATTTGGGGGCCTGCACTCTAGTGAGATCTTTCAGTATGTTTCACCAAGTGCTGGGTATAATGTAAAATGTTTGCAGTGTTTCTACACCAAGGCATACAGCATGAGGAACAAGCAAGAGGAGCTAGGAATTTAAGCCCAGTCCTAGAGCCATGACACCAATGGCATAAGCAAACCCCCTTGGGAAGAGCCCTCTAAGTGGCATGTTGCAATAGACAGTTCTGAGCTCTTTCAGCAGGGACAGGCAGGGCAGGTGAGGCAGGGGGTGTGGTGTATGTATGGAAAGAGACAGGCTGTGCAGAACTCATAGCTGGCTATGACACAACTGTGAGCCCCCAGGTAAGGATGAAAGGTCAAATAAAGCAGACTGGCTACCCAGCTAGACACAGACTCTGAGCTTTGAGGAAATGGTCCTTCAATGTTAAACAACTCTCTTGGGCTCCCTGATCTTCCAGTGTTCTAACAAATGGGATACCTCCTTGAAGAGGTCAGAGTTGGCTTTCCTGAAAACCAAAGTTGCATTCCTACTTACACACCTATTTTTTCCACACAAGATCCTGAACTCTGCTATTTCATGTTTGCTGCAGCCAAAGCTGCCACCAGTCTTCACATTCACAACCAGCCCTTCTTTGTCAGTTAAGAAAAAAAACAAACAAAAAAACCTCCAGTCAATCTCTCCATGCATGTTGGCTCTCTGCCACCTGTTTACAGATGTTATCATCAGTGCTCTGCAGGAACCTCCTGGACTGTGTGCTTGGCAGTGTTTCTTTTCCACAAATATCAGGATGACTGAAGTCTCCCATGAGAACTGATGCCCAGAACAGTGAGGCAACACTGTGAGGCAGTGAGGCCTCACCAACTTCCTCCTCCTGATCAGTCAGCCTGTAGTAAACACCCACAGTGGTGTCACCCATATTAGCCTGTCCCTTCTCACCTGTAAGATTCCACTTTATCACTGATCACTAGGCAGAGCTCAATACATTCCAGTTCTTCTCTTACATAAAGAGCAATTCCATCAGCTCACCTCTCTGGTCTGTATTTCCTAAAAAACAGCATACTAGACAGGCAAGCTGTCCCACCATGTCTCTATCATCACAATGAAATTATGAACCTACAACCACACACAGATCTCTAGCTCTTTATATTTATTTCTCTTGCAGTGTAAATTGGTATACTGGCACTTTTCTGTTTTATTTAGTCAGCTACTGTCAGAAGAATCTACCTTGCATTAAAATGCAACCAAGGATATCTATGAGTAGCTCCCAATTTTTATACTTTACACACTCATGTCTATTACTGCTGTAATTCATCTGGTAATATCTGTCAGACTCACTCAAAATGCGACACGTATCACTGTTATGTAAATTTGCACTGTACCTGCAAGACAAGGATGTAAAAAGAAAAGTAACAGAAACTGGGATGGGAAATAGTGGAATTTTTCTTTTGTGACTATTATGAAATAGAATGAATAAAATTGAGTCACTGAGGATCTTTAGGCAATTTTAAGCTTAAATGACTCATTTTTCAAATGAGAAAAAAACATCACTTTGCCAGTCCCTTATGTACATATAAGTTAATGAGAAATGACTATAGTGATTCTTAAAGTTATATCAATTTTGAATTTGTTAAAAAAATTACCTTAGTGGCATACTGAATGCAACTGAGTGCCATATGTTACCAATTTGTGTTATCTAACTTTTAAATGCAAAAATGTTATCTCCACTGTCCACTCTTTTTTAATTATTGTTAGTTTCTTTTCTTCCCAGCAAGAAGTTTAACAATGTTGTTTTTATTTTTCAAGAACTTAGAATAATTGTAATGACTGTCTTCCGTACTCAGATCACTACTCTACAAAAATAGAAATGAACAAGAAGAAAAAATCCACTTCAAGTAAATGAACAGACCCATATTTATTAAATAACATAATGTAGTTGAATAGAATCTAATTATTGAGTTGAATCTCATTGCTGAAACCTCAGTGTTTTTGTCTAGAGTCCAGGCTATTTACATGCTTTCAAGGTCAGCTTAGTCTCCATATTTTTAATGTCATTTTGAAAAATGTACATCAAAATTGTCTGATGATTCATTATAATTGGAGTTCATTCTCTAGTGTTCTGATTTCATCATTTCTTCCATCCTCTGCAGATTGTAAAAGACATGCAGGAAATGAAAAGCAAGCATATGAAGATAATCAAACAACTGGAAAATATCAAAAAAGAAAAACAGGTAATTATTCTGGAGCCTGAATATCATTGTGTCATATTATTAGTCAAAGTGAAACAGATGGAATCATAGAATAGGTTGGGTTGGAATGGACCCCAAGGAACATTATGTTCCAAACCCCCTTCCACAGGCAAGGCCACGAACCTCCAGATCTGGTGATTCACCAGGTTGCCCAGGGCTCCATCCAAACTGGTTTTGAGCACTTCCAGGGATGGGGTGCCTACAGCATCTCTGGCAGCCTGTTCCAGCACCTCACCTCTCTCTCTGAAGAATTTCCCCCTGACATCCAATCTAAATCTTCACTCCTTCAGCTTAAAATCATTCCCCCTTGTCCTGTGACTATCCATCTGAGTGAGAAATTGATTCACCTCCGGTTTATAATCCCTTTTAAATACTGGAAGACTGCAGTGAAGTGTCCCTGCAGCCTTCTCCAGGCTGAACAAGCTCAGGTCCCTCAGCCTGTCTTCATAAGGGAGGTGGTCCAGCCCTCTGATCGTCTTTGAAACCTTCCTCTGGACCCTCTCCAAAAACTCCACATCTTTCTTGTACTATGGGCCCTAGATCTGGATGCAGTACTTCAGATGGGACCTCACGAGGGCAGAGTAGAGAGGGACAATCACCTCCCTGTCACTGCTGGCCACCCCTCTTCTGATGGAGCCCAGAATACCATTGGCCTTCCAAGCTACAAGACCACATTGTTGGTTAATGTTTAGTTTTCCATCCACCAGTACCCCCAGCTCCTTCTCCACAGGGATACTATTAATGAGTTCTTCTTTCTGTCTGTATACATATCTGGGCTTACTCCAACCCAAGTGCAAAATTTTGAACTTTGCTACATTAAACCTCATTAGGCTTACATGGCCCCTCCTTTCTAGCCTCTCAAAGTCCCTCTGGATGGTTTCACTTCCTTCTAATGTGTCAACTGCACTACTCAGCTTGGTGTCATCAGCAAATTTACTGAGAGTGCACTCGAGCCTGACATCAATATCATTGATGAAAATGTTGAAAAGCACCCATCCCAAGACATACCCCTGGGGGACACCATTCATAACTGGCCTCCAAGTGCACATAAAACCATTAAACATGACCCTCTGTCTATGGCCTTCCAGCCACCGAATATCCACTGAACAGTCCACTCCTCAAATCTGTATCTCTCCAATTTAGAGATGTATTGAGGGATCACATCAAAAATTTTGCCTGAGTCCAGATAGATGACATTGGGTACCTTCCCTTTGTCCACCAGTGTCGTCACTCCATCATAGAAGGCCACTAGTTTGGTCAGGCATGACCTTGCCATGCTGGCCATCTCAGATCACCTTTTCATCCCTCATGTGCCTTAACATGCCTTCTAGGAGAACCTGTTCCACGATCTTTCCAGGCACAGAGGTGAGGCTCACTGGTCTGTAGTTCCTGGGTCCTCTTTCCTCTCTTTCTTGTAAATGGGAATGACATTTTCATTTTTCCTGTCCCTGGGGACTTCACCCAACAGTCACAATATATGGTATATATTCATATATTGTGTCAAGTGACTCAGCAACCACATCAGCCAGCTGATTTAGGACTCTGGAATGCAAGTCATCTGGCCCCATAGACTTGCATATATTCATTCTCATGAGGCAGTCTCAGACTTACTCTGCCCTTACAGAGGGGGAGCAGGGAGGATTTACTCCCCTGGTTTCCAGCTACAGGGCCAGGGATATGAGCTTCAGGGACATGAGCAATACAAGAATCCTGGCAGTAAATGAAGACCATGGCAAAAACTCATTTACTACCTCAGCCTTCTCCATATCTGTCATAGCCAGTTCTCCTTTCTCATTTACCAAAGGAGGTGTGCTCTTTTTGGCCTGCCTCTTCTGGCTATTGTACCTATCGAATCTCTTCTTGGTGTTTTTAATATCCCTTGCCAAGTTCAGTTCCATCTGATCCTTGGCTTTCCTAATCACTTCTCTGCAAGTCCGGACAGCATCCCTGTATTCTCCCTAGAATGCCCTGGGGAGAATGTGCCTTTATTTCCACAGCTTGTACAATCTGTTCTTTTCCCTTTGTCTGACCAGCAGATTTTGTGCATCCGCTTCCTGCTTTCTCATTCTGAGGGATGGAGAGCTCTTGTGCTCCTAGCAGGGCATCCTTGGAGAGTAGCCAGCTTTTTTCCTTTTCTTTGTCTCTAAGGACAGCTTCCCAGGAGATCTCATGCAACAATTCCTTAAACATCCTGATGTTCATTCTCCCAAAATTCAGGGTCCTGAACCCACTCTTTGCCAGGACTACGTTACTTGAGATAACAAACTCAGCAGGGGCATGGTCCCTGCAACCTAAACTGCCTCCATTTGTAATCTCTTTAATGATCTCCTCTGCACTGATGAGCACCTGATCCAGCAGTGCTTCCCCCGTGGTCAGTCTATCCAACACACAAACCAGAAGTTATCATTCATATACTCCAGAAAGTCTCCTGGATCTCTTGCAGCTTGCTGTACGGTTTTCCCAGCAGATATCTGGGTGGTTGACAAGGAGAAGTGCCTGAGCACGATGCCTTCTGCAGCTGAAGGAAGAAGGCATTGTCAGCAGGCTCCCCTTGATCAGGTGGTCTGTAGTGGGCCCCTACTACCAGGTGCCCTTTATTAGTCCTATCCCAAATTCTAACCCACAGGTCCTCGACCTGCTCCTCACTATTTCTCAGAGGAAGATCCTTACAATCAATCCAGTCTTTAGGACAGAGGGCAAAACTAGGTAATAAATTTATTTCATTCACATTTGCTTCTGCATTTAGTTACTCGTTGCATCCAATCTCCAAAAATGGCTATTTCTTCATTTTTTTTTTAATACATTAGTATCTTCCCCATTCTGAATATTTATGCTGGTGTATTTGCAGACTTTTCAGTTAATAAATTTTCCTGTTAAATGTCACTTTCTTCTGATGACTGACACAACTGTGTGAGTTGATCTGTCAAGAATAATCTTTTTGTAAAAGGCTGTTCTAAGCCTCATTGCCGATGCAGAAGGTATTTCAGCCTTTCTCTGTGGGCATGCTCTCTTTTCCTTTGCACTTGGCTCCTTTTCCATCTTTAAGGTTTAAATCCATTCTCTGTTTAGCGTAGTATATGACAATTTCTGTGAAGTTCATGAAGTTAATGAGCTCGATAAGGATAAATTTACCGGAAAACAACCCCAAAACATATTTCATAGTAAAGCATTATACAAGTCGAATAATTCAAGTTGTTTCCAAAATATGAATAAGATTGTTTCCTTTTCTTTGAATCTTGGTTGACACACGAAATAATGCTCATATAACTGGTTCTTTCAGCATTCAGACCCAGACACAGGTCTCCATGGATGTTTCAGTTTTTTCTTTTAGTGTTATGTAAATGTGGTTTAGAAAATCACAGAGGCCTTCCACCTGTAAATGTCCACAAGGCTACATTGAGGATCCATAGGCTCCACTCTTGTGACTATAACTCCACAGTGCCATGCTTTCCCTAGTGGAAGCATTTGTGTATTTCATTAGTCGGTAATTCTCCCCAGATCTGAATTACGTACATCTTTGGCTACATTGTACTGAAAACTTTTTCTTCAGCCTCCACTACTTTAATTCATCAGACTATTTTTCTTTGCCAATGAAGATCAAGACAGCCATTTGGTAGCTGTTTACATGTATGTTCTTCATAAAAATAAATTTCATTCTGTCCAGAGGGTATACACTGAGGAAAGATTCCAAATTTATTTCTCTACTGAGCACAGACAGAAACATAGGGACTATAATGTGATTTTAGTTAAAATCTTTGAGAGCCGAGTAGTTCATTGAAACACTGGAAATATCCCTACTTCTTAAACTTTCTGATTTGATTGCATTTATTATACAATTCCATTGCCTTATTTAGAAAGATCCTTTTGCTGAGCTATTTTCTATACTGCTCGTATCTTTAACTTCCCATCTTTTATTTTCTTAGAAAAGCTGAATTTGTTTAAAATTGCTTAGCCATGCCTAGAGAGAATTCATTAGGGTCTGATCTTCGAAAGACTTATGGCTTCTGCAAAACACAGGAGAAAAAATGATTACCTGAGCAGGATTTTTTGCCTTAAGCTTACGTCCTGTGAAGATACTAGCCTCTTGTGAGCAACACAAAAAATTTGCAGATTAAAAAAAAAAAAAAAAAAAAAAGAATTGGAGAAGGAAAAGTAATATTTTGCTATTGTATAAATGTTATTCATGTTTTCACTTCCCTGTTTTCACTCTGAATTCATTTTCTCAATAATCTTTTCTAATATAGGAGTGGACTGTAACTACTGTAAAACTGTATGGTGACAAAATGAGGAGTCTGAAATCTCAATTAGAAGCTTACCGAGAGCTGATGAACAAGAACAGCCAATACTGGCAAAATTTAGCTAAGGTAAACAAGAAGTGAATTTTAACAGAAGAATAAGAGCAACAGGAACATATGGGGGATGCAGAAAGAGATTGTAGAAGTCGTGTTTTCTTTTCAGTAACAAACTGAAGATATAGTTTGAGAAATTACTACAAAACCATAGCTGTCTTCATCTGGAGATGAGTAAAACCTTACACAGTACGTTTTCAGAACAGTTTTCGTATCTTCAGTTCCGTGATGAATACTTGGTGTAAAGTTCTCCCATACTATTTTGTTGATACACCTGAGAACAATTATGTTTTTATGAAGGAAAATAAAGACGTTCACTGAGTATTAAGGATATCTAATGCTTTTTTAGTGATGACCAGAAATTAAGGTTTATCCCATTCTTTATATTCTACAACCAAGCAAAAATTTCTGCATGTACCAGAATTTAAGAAGTGTATTCAGAATCTAATGACATTTGGTTTCTAAATTTGTCAATTTTTATTTTTGTCCAAGATCCCCAGGACTTAGCACTCTAGTTCAAATGTTCAAATTTCTCAACTTGTGTGGAAGAAAAACTAAAACAATCAAATAAATAAATACTGAAGACCTTTTTGAAAAATGAACGCTGAGTATGGAGCTTTTAATTACTTTGCCTTATTCTATTTCTTTCAGAGCCTGAGGGAAATTAACAGTCAACTGAGCCAAGAGAAGGAAGTTCTTCTTCATCAAATGAAACAACAAACAGAGAAATGGGAAGAAAAAAAGGTGAAAACAGCTGGTTTGTTTTTTCTTCATGAAGTTAAACTGTGCCCTCATTTTCATTTCTAGTTCATGCTGTTCCCAACAGTCTAAGGGTCCTGAAAACAACAATTTGTCTTTAGATATGTACAACTAAATCAGCCAAGATTAATTGCTAGACACTTGTTTTATTTCAGGGAATAAAAGTAATTTGGGGGTCATTAGATGCCAATGAAGAAGATGTACAGGATTTTGTTCTATGTTATTTTTCCACTAAAAACTGTAATTGTCATTTCTCAGTCTTTTTCACTTCTCATGTCTTTTCAATAATTGTAAAATCACAGCAGAGTTGGTTTTTGTTGTTGTTTTTTAATTTTTTAATTTAGCAAATGATATAAAAAATACACAAAGTCTTCATCTATCACAACAGTGTAAAGCAGCTCGTTGACCTAAGCAGCAAAAAATAACTTGCATAATGTTTCCCAGGAAAAAGGGGCATATTTGCAATATTTCTTTCTAATAATGAAGTATCAGTTTACTAATGATCTGACATGGCAGCAGATGCAGAAAAAGCCTGCAGAAAGCAGTGAACTGTAAGAGCAAGTTGCTATATCAGTGGGTTAAAACATCATTTCCACCCTTCTTATTGTGGCCAAACTGTATTGCAGTCACATTGTCAGACAATTTAGTAATACTCAAACTTTGTTCTTACTGAATCATTGATCACTGTCAGATGTTTCTGTTTATTACAGAAGCAAAAGAACTAAAAAAAAAAAAAAAAAAAAAAGGCCTTGGGTAAAATAAATGTGTATTGCAAGAGCACAGCAGCACTCTCCCCTTATTATTATTATTTTTTTCATTATAATAATTCTTTTAAGGGCAGGGTTGGGGAAATAGGGGAGATGAGCTATTTCAGGCACATCCAACCTGTAGCTCATGGGCCACATGCAGTCTGATACAGCTCACGCTGTAGCCATGCAATACCTCATGCTATCGCAGTGGCAGCTCTGCCCCACAGAGTGGCCCAGCTGCATGGGCTCCAGGGCATGGGGAGGGTACAGTGTAATGCCAGCTTAAGTTAGGGCAAATAATTTTATGCATTTCACAGAATCACAAGGTTGGAAGTCCTTTCACAAGTCCTGTGAAAAGTGAAAAACATGCAGCCATGCTTTCCATTTTGATAAATGAATTTGAGGTTTCAGGATTGCAAAAAAGAAATTAATATTTTTGTTTATTTGTGACTCTATTTCTAGTAGGCATATATTTGAAAATTTTCAAATGGAATGCATAGAGTTGTAATGAAAAATTTTATCACATCTCTTTATCCGTCTCTTACCAGAGAGAAATATCATTTGGTTTACAATCATGGCTCATTCACTTTGTCATTTTTTTGGCAGTATGAACATTTGTGAACAATTGTTTTCAAGGATGAAGTACAGGAAGAATAAAATTTCACCAGACATCTTAAGAATTCACTGAGAATTGCAATCACTGTCACTGAACCAGACTGATGCATTAATTTCACAAAAATACCAGTTTTATATTTTTGTTAGTCTGTTTTTAATATGTTTTAATAAAAAATGCTAAAACTTCAAGTTTTGTTACTTACATATATGAACTACCTTATATATTTTATGAGGGCTGCTCTGAAAGTAATGCCTTCTATTGCATTATGTTGTTCCACAACATCAGAGGCAGATGTTGGCTGTATGGCAGTTGAGGCTGAACTTTCTCACCAGTGCAGATTCTTTTTCATTGCTAGAGAAAATCCATAGCCAATGGTATTGACTATTTTAAAAAAAAAAAAGGTGTTTCGTAGATGAGAATTTGCTCTAAGACTACTGTGTTCTTTGTATTGGTTGTAGTTTCCTTGGAAATAATTAGGTAGTATTAATTTTGGAGCAACAGTCATAGATGGAGCTTTCATCAGTTTCTCTTCATTCAATGCAGCTTAGGAAAGCCAAAAGGTCAGACATCCATGAGTTATTTAACCTGGGAAGATCTTGAGGCTGTAACACCAGACACTAACATGCAGGCAGTTAATTCCTTTATCAACAGTTGTCTTGATACACTAACAAAACAACATTACTCAATGTAGAACGTATTTGTTTTTAGTTCTGAAAACAAAAAAAAAAGTTGTATTTCATTTAATGGTCATGAAATGCTTAGTGTTGTGCACCTTCAATAAAAGGTTATGTTCTTAAACAGTTAAATAGGCTGCTTATGTTAGTACTTCTGTGCCCAGCATGCTTTCAGGACTGAGCCCAAAATGCACATTAAAATAATTTAATTTATTCCTGGTTATATCAGAGTCCAGTTTCTTCCCTAATATGAAATCACTAACATGGACTGTGAAGTACCAATTTTGGCTCCATACACTGAAAAGCCATAACTTTATAAATATTCCAATATGTATTCCTTCTGTAAATTAAGCTACATTTATCTGTGGAAATAACAATTTAAAGTGATTTTCAATTTGATTTGTGTGTTATAGAATTTTGCCCAGTTTGACCTGCTAGTTTCTTAGTGATATCTTGTCAGAATTGCTTTCCAAATAAATGCAAGGGTATTTTTCAGATTTACCTATTTTATACCTCTCTTCTGAATTACATGTATACCATACATTCTGAATTTCTTGTTACTGGAGAAAATAACTTTTTTTTTTCTTTTTCTAATATAATCTATGAGCATGATCTAATTATTGTCTGTTATTTTCTATATATATATATATATTATTATGCATAAAATATGTAAGTATTTCTGTAATTTTGAAATCAGTCTTTATATCAATCATCACTGTACTACAATAGGGCATATATTCAGGATCATGTTGACACTCTTTTGAAGGAATAAAAGTCTAAAAATCAGACTTAAATTTTGAAATAGAGTGCAGATTCCTATAGCATTTCGGAGTGAAAAATAGGAAGGAGTATTTTTTTACAGTGCAGCACCATCTTTTGATGGAATTTTGAATGTCATCAGTATTTAATTTTTTTTTTTCTCCTATGTTTTATGATATATCTCCAATATTAGCTGATTCCCAGTTGACAAACAGTGAAGACTATAGTTTTTTACAAATTCTTGAAATGTAGCATATTATATTTTAAGAAAGAATAGCAAGTGGTGAAGTTATAATGTTCTAAGATATACAGGAAGAGAGAACATCTTTTATGAAACCAGGTAGTACTATCAAGATCTGAAGTAAATAAACTTTCGTTCTGTGCTGACTTTAGACTGTGTGTGCAAAGGATTTTATTTCTCAAATTTTTGTGAGACTTACTCTGTAATTTTTATCTCTTTAATTCTTGCAATGTGGGCAAATGTAAGTATTGGACATTTTGGTTAATTTTCTTGTGAAAATGGTAAAGTCTGAGAAGTCTCTGCTTTTCTTCTTTTATATTTTCTTTTATAGCAACAACCTGTTACTGCTCATTTCTCTAGGATGCGACTATCAGTGGCAACATTATTCCACTGTTATTAATTTTTACATGTAGACTCACAAAGGAAATACAAAAACTGATGTCTTTCTCTCCTCTTTTCTTGCCTTTCAGGTCAGGATTCTTGAAAATCTGTCTAAAACAATCAGTCATCTTTATGCCCAACACACATTGAGTGAGTTTTGTATTTTGGACATGAAATTTCTTGATCTTCCTATTTTCCCTCCTATTTTTCTTATGCTGTGGATTATACCAGACAAAATCAGTATAAGCTTTTCCATTACAATACTGTATTTCAGGTTAAATTAAAGAAGAATTTTAGAGCCAGAAATGTCTATCATAATTCCAAACTCTTTAGTATAACTGGATTATTACAGTCAGGAAGAATTTTGTGTAGACTTCTTTCAACATTTGAATAGAATATTCTAACAGAATTCTTGATTATCATAATTAATTTGTGCATTACAAATTCTTGATTTCTTAATGGAGACAATTTAGTACACTTAGACAATATTGCAGCCAGTGCATAGTCATAGAAATGCTCAACTTTTTCTTGATTACATCTTCTACTGGTTTCAATATAGCTTTGCAGGAATTTCACAACATCAGTCTGTATGTGGAAAGAGTGTCAGACCATGTGGATTTCCAGATCAAAATTCTTCAGCACAAATCTGAAAAGACCGAAGACTTGGAAAAAGCAGATGTGCTCATTTTAAAATCAAAAGCAGAACAAGTGAGTAACACAATGGAAATGAAATTGGTTGGTTTATAATTATTCCAGTTGTTTCAAAATATGTCAGACTGACTAATTCTAGAAAGGCTGAAGGAAGCTAGAAGACTGACAACAAAAAATATGGGAAATTTATATGTGCTTTGAGAATGATAAATTGGTGATGAATTATTAAAATACTATAGTAAGAAAATGAAGTCTAATTCTTCTGGAACCAAATAGTGTGCTGTTATCTTCATTATAATGCTAGTATACATTTTACTACAAAATCTTTTGAACATCTCTAGTATGAATTGTAAAAACTGTACACCAAACATTGGAAGTAAGCAACATCTACTTCTTTTAGATTTTTTTCCATTTGTGCTCTAACTTGATCATTAATATCTTGGAAAATTCATTCTGATGAACAGATTTTGCATTAACATTTTAAAATATATCTTTGTGGCCTCCCAGGGAGCTAATGAAGAGAAGTCTGAAAACTCAGTGGAAATGGGACCTCTGTGGCAAGCACACATCATACTGCAAAAGATACAGGAGTCTTTACGGAAACGAGAAAGAGAAGTTACTGAGCTCCTAGAAAGCGAAAGAAGATATAACAATGCAGTGAAACCTGAAATTACAGTCCTAGTATTCTTGAAAAATCTAGCTAAGAAGGTCGGAACTCAGAGACCGTAAAAGTGAAAAATGATTTGCTGAGTTTACAAAGAAGTTCAATTTGGAAAAATGTGTATTTTAATTAATTATTTTTAGTGTTAAAAAATAGAAAAATTATTTTATACATATTGATTTAAAGGCTAAATGAAATTTTCAGAATTACACATGTAATTAAAGAAATCTAGACCCTCACTGAAAATTGACCTACAGAAATCTGATTAGACCAATCTGAATACTCTTTTTATGGGATTATTTTAATATATAAATTAGTGAAACTCAAAAATGAAATCATGGAAAAAACAGTATTTTTCTGTTCTTTCAGTTCTTATCTGAAAAACATGATTTGCAAACAGTTTTGCAGAAAATTTAATCTTATTTTTGATCCATGATAGGTTCACACCTTATACTGTGATGTCCCTGAGGCACAGCAGTACATCAATCAGCTTGTCAGGAAGAATGAGGTTGAAAGGGCTGGTTGGAAAGAAGCCTTTAATAAAGCTCAGGCTGACATTTCGTCCTATGAAGTGCTTTATGGAAATGAACCTAGGGATGACAAAAGGTATGTAGGAGTGTTAATAAAGATAGAAATAATATTAAAAAAGTAATGAGTTGTTTCCATACAGAGAAAATACATTTTAAAGAATCTTATTATAATTTTCATGCATGGTTTTGAAATTGAAAAAAAAATCAAAGTATTCTATAATTATATTAAAAAATTAAATCAAGGAGCTTAAAAACACCTTACAAAGAGCAGGAAAACAATTCAGCATATCTATCTTATGCAAATTTTAACCAGTGTGTTATAAAATATACTGAAATAAGCTTATTTGGCAAGACTGTTATAGTATCAACAACTTCTTTTTCTACATTTTTCAGAATGTTTCTTCCTCATACTTTTCGTAATTGCACCCTTCTTGTAGTTTTAATAATTAGTTTCTCACAAAGTCTTCATCTTATTTTGAACAGCAACAGGACACAGTTCTCTATGAAGCTTTTCAGAAATCTTGGGAGAGCAAAGTCTGAATTAGAATTTGCTGAAACAGAGAAGATAGTTTTTGATTGTATCCAGACTGGGGAAATCCCCAACTGGATTAAAAGAGATTGTCCTTATGTAGTCTTGACAGGTGAGAAATCCTTTCATCAATTCAGAGAAGGCTAATTTATGTTTTATATAAGAAAACAGAGAACAACAGTAGCATTTAAATTCATATTGTGGTAATGCCATATAATATCCCATGAAACACCTCCAACTATATTCATTTTAATTAATTATTATATGAATTTATAAGCCTGGGACTTCATTTTCATATTTGTTTCTCTTCGCTCATCTTTTCTCTGGTGTCTTTATCATTTTAAAATCAGATGTATTGTGTACAATGTGTCTATCTATTTCAATGTGTGTTCAAGGTAGACAAATCCAGAATACCCTCTAGCTTAACATTCAGGCACTGAACACAATGGAAATTACAGAACTCAGAGAATAGTATAGAGAACAGACTACCGAAAAATCTTACATCCACTGCATGAATTTAATACTTTGGCTCTTCTGAGAAGGAATAATTTTCCAATATTTTGCTTGTTTTTTTTTTAATTATTTTGCAACACACAGTGGTTTTGGTGGTCTAGACAGGGAAAGAGGAATGGCTATGATTTCTATTTTAAGAATTACTATTTCTAATTTAAGATATTTACTGTGATATGTATTTGTCATTTAACTACATAATTACTGGAACTGCCCAGAAGACCATAAGGATGTATGCTCTAGAGAGATAAGTCAGCATTCAGAGGAAATAATGCAAAAGTTTGAAATGGAAATGAAGGTAACACATTACAATATATTATATCATATGGTTTTAAATCATTAAAATAAAAAATGCCATTCTTTTCTGTTCTATTCTTAAGGGATTTTATATTTTCTCTAGAGTATCTTAAAGAACATCTGCAGACAAGTGGTAACTATTTGAACTGAGTTTTTCCTGCTGAAGTTGAATTATAGAATCATAGAGTCATAGAATAACAGAATCATAGAATTGTTTGAGTTGTAAGGGACCCTTTAAGTTGATTTAGTCAAACTCCTGTGCAAGGAACAGGGATATTTGCAGCTAGATAAGCTTTCTCAGAGCCTAGTTCAACCGGACTTTGAATGTCTCCAAGATCGAAATATATGTAGGTTGCTCCAAAAGTAATGCCTCCTATACGAAGAACACAGTATCACTATTAGAGCAAATTCTAAGCTACAAAACTCTTATTTTACACAATTAGGTATGCATTTTGCCAGCAATGAACGAGAACCTGCATATCATGACCATAAAGATCTTCACCAATAGAGATGACCCACTGTTTCTCAGCTGCTATGATAGTGTCATTGGTAGGAAAATGTTGCCCATGCAGTCCCTAATTCATCAGCTCAAACAGATGGAAATCAGAAGGAGCCAAATCCAGAGCATACTGTGTGTGTGGTAGGATAGTCCAGACAAAACTGGCTATATGCTTCATGGTCTTCAAACTGACATGAGGCCTTGCATCTTCTTGTAAGATAAAGGTCCTGACCTACCACAGGAAGTTCAATCCCTCAGCTTGGTCAATGTTGCAGTGTAAAAGTGAGAGCTGATGGTTTGCCTGGGTTCCAAGAAATATAAAAGAATCACCCCTTTTCTATCCCAAAAGATATTGCACATCTCTTTACCTGCTGAAGGCTGCACCTTGAACTTTTTCTTCAGTGGAGAATTACAATTATCACTCCTTACTCTGCTTTTTTGATTTTAGCTTGTAGTGGTGAAAACACATCTCATTGCCAGAAATGATGCAATCCAGAAAACTCAGAAAACTGATCTCAGAGTGGCTCAGTAGGTCCTGTTTCTGTTCCTGTGTGAGCATGCGTGCAAACTTTTAAATATTCCAACATGGCCACCTTTGTTTCAACATATTGAAGCTGATAACCAACCTTGTGCACATTTCCTTGATTATAATCCACAAATTCATGTGGATGAAGTGATGCAGACACTCTGTTTCATGGTGTAATACCTGCACATGGCCATCTTGAACATGACTTTTCTTTCACATCACTGATACCACTGCTGAAACACACCACTCACCACTCCACTATGCTCATATCCACTGGTTAGTCTCCAAGCATCGATGAATGTCAGTGGGTGCTATTTTTTTCATCTTGGGGGAATTTGTTTACATGCATTTGCTTAATATGCACTTCCACATCAGACATCATTCTGTCAGAGTGCCTCTCTGCTGCCATCTGTCACACAGCAACAAAGAAGTAACAGAATATCAGAGTATTAGTAGAAGGCTCAACCTCCACTGCCATAACACCAAAATCTGCTTCTGGTGCTGTGGGGTGGCATAACAAAATAGGAGCCATTATTTTCAGAGCAGTACTCGTACTTTAATGATACAACAGAAAACAGAGTGTAATAAGAACCTTGGTATATTTTTGTTGCTGGACTTCAAACTGAACAGTCCCCAAATTGCCATCAATTATTATTTCTTTTACTTTAATTTAGCTATAATGCTAAATTAATACACAGAAATTTTCACTATTAAATGATGCACACAAAAAACAAAATGTTTACAATTATTAATTATGTAACTGATATTTTTAGGTGGTCAAGAAAACAATGGAACAGTAAAAAACACACCAACAATGGAACAAGTTTCCTGTTTTAAAGGGGACGCTGGATGGACGTCTTGAATAATAGAAACATTTTCTACAGCAGCTTCATGATAAAAAATGAATTGGAAGAACTTCAAGCCCACTATTTACTCTCAAGAAACTTTTGGAGTTTCAGTGTTTTGAAACTTTTAGTCACTTTAAGAAATATTTTGAAGACATCTTTAAATACAAAACAACAAAACGCACACACAAAGCCCCCCCACTATTGTATCCTGAAAGAATTTGACTGAACAAAAGAGCCTAAATGCTTTATTTAAGCAGATACAGATCTGTTTGTAAGTGGATGGGATTAATCTCACCAAATTTCTGATGTCTAAAATTATGTATCTAACATGTATCTATAAGAATAGAGAGATGGCTCCAAACTGTATTTTTTCCCAGAGCACAAACAGCTCTGTTCCACGGAGAGAAGGCTCAGGGTGAAATGCTGTTTGGGTGTTAAAATGTTAATAATAAGCACGATCTGTCCAGATTAAACTAGGAACTCAAAAAAATAACTTTTTGTTTATTTGTTTTGTGGTTTTGGTGGTGGCCTTTTGTTATTATTTTTTCAAGTAAAAGATTTACTCTTAGCTTTAAATGTTTTGGACAAAGAAAAGCACATTTGTACACAAAAGGAAAATTATGCTTATTTTTAAAGACCATGCTGAAAGATGCATGGCCAGCTATAGCAGTCATTGGACTAGACCACCATTCCAAGTGAAAGCCTTCAGAGAACTCCCAGACATGTTGCTTTTCTTTGTCTTTCCCTTTTTAAAATAATTATGTAGTGGGAACATGTTTTTAATTCTGCACATAATAAAATAAAAGGAATGAATCCCAGTGGACCACACCATATCTGACAGACCATGTTATGGCACAACTGTGAATTTTGTATATGGGCTCAGTTGAAAGTATATACCAGCAGAGTCTTTTTCAATCAAACAGATGCTTTTATGTATTGATGTCATGGTTATATGATTCTTGTTATTGGTATTATTTCATATTATCATGTGAAGCACTGAAAGTTAAAGAGTTAATGCCCCATTTCTGTAGACTGCCGAATTTCCTGCTACCTGTTTCTCAGAAGGAAAGAAGAACTACATATCACAGAGGACTTTGTATCCTCTGCTTATTTGAACAGCATCCCTGTTTTCCTCCCAGGTGGCACTGCCTGTGCACGCCCTTCTTTTCTCTCAGGTTGACCAACAGATCCTTGATGAGCCATGGTGGTTTCCTGCCTCCCTTGCCTGTTTTCCTATCTCCAAAACAGCATAGAAAATAACAAATTCAAAGTGTGTCTTAGATTACATACATTATTTGAATTTAAAGTATTCTGAATAATCTGAAGTGCTTTTACACTGTTCGTCTATTCTTAATCAAGTGTTACTATTATGCTGCACTAGGGAAATATGGTGTTTTTTTTTCATTATATATCATTTCATATGCTGCTTCTCTCAATTCTAGCTTGAGTTATTACAGACTTACATAACATGGCTCATAGTCAATTTACTTTCTGACACATTTTTCACTGCAAGAGCTTTACAACTTGAGGGGAGGTAATCTTGAATAAAGATTTAACAGCACCCAGGAGATGAAGCTGGTCACATACTCTTGAACAGGCAAATCTATCAGCTACATTCATGCAGTAAGAAGCTCTGGTATATTATAAAAACATGCTCAAGAGAAAGCTGTCATCTTTTAGACAGATAAACATAATTTACTTTCCTAAAGACAGCCCAGAGTGACTGCAATTGTGTGGATTGTTGCCCTAATGAAAGTTACCATCTTTTTCTGCAATCTTTATTTCTCTTGACTCTTTAAAGACCAGCACAACTATAAGGCCTACCACTATTCAGACATGGTTTGCTAATTCTTGGCACCTATTTCTGAATTGATATAACCAGTACAAATTCAAACCAAAAAAGACTAATCTTTCCCTATGTAAAGTATTTCTTAATTTTCTGGTTCTTCTCTATCTCATTTGAAAGTTAACATTTAAAGTTCCTCTGTATAAAAACAGGAAATAGTCAGCTCTTTCTAGAAAACAAATATCACCTCCTCCTCCATGATATAACTCTTCAAGAAATTAGTTACTGGTATGGTTCCATTTTCACTTCTGACATGTTTTGAAGTAGGTAGTTCAAAACTAATTCTATCCTACTCCCTCTTAGGCAACTCTTCATTCATTGATTCTCAGAAACACTTTCATGAGTAATACGTGTTATAGCTGGCTTTTCAGAAAGTGTCCACTGCTCAACACTACACACAGATCTGATGAAGTTCTGCATAATTTGCTTTTTCATTGCAAGCATGAAGCCAATTAGTAAAATAAATATACTAATTTCATTAAAAAGGTGAAAAATGTTCTGAGCGATGTCAAATATCACAAGAAATAATAAACAGGTGTAAATTAAATATCAAAGATTTCATACAAAATTACATGATATTCAAACACAGTAGGGAAAACACAATTCTTAAATCATTCTTAGCAAAGTATTTCTACTCCTGAATTTTGAACAAAGAACTATCCTTTTTCTTCACACTGTTCAAAATACTGCCGTCATTAATTTTATGTCTTCTCTACGGAGATGACTGTTAAAAAATCAGAAACTTTAGAGTCAAAGCTAGGGAGAAATGTATATTCTGGAAAACATGGAAATCTGAAGGCAAGAAAAGGTTCCAAAATAAACTTCTCTCTGTCAGAGCTCAAAATATTACTCAGTGGTTGTTTTAAAGTGCTACCATTTGTACCAAGGTAAACATTTTAGCTCCGCATCCTTCCTTTTATTTTTTTTTTAATAAAAATTGAAAAAGTTATAGTTATGAAAAATCTTGGAAACTCTGACACACTGTTCTGTCACAATCAATCAGAGAATCAACAAAGCTGTAGGTACCTGTGACTGTGAGTGGTTTGTTTTCACAAGTCCCTCATAATACTGCCTATATGCTAAACTGAATACCAGTTTTATTAAAGTATTGATCTGTCATTCCAAAAGTTATGCACTAAAACTTATATTCTCTTATAACTGTATGTCTGTACATTATCTGCTTCTTCTAATCTGAAATACTTACTCCAAAAAGAACACTCTACAATAGAAGCATGCCTATGACAACGTTTTCGTGCAAATAATTTGATAAGTTATTGTAAATACATAATCCTTGGAATGCAATATCTGTTCTCAAGCACCATTAATATAATTATGGCCTATTTCAAGTGAGGTGCTTGTCTATTTTTCTGCCATAAGACCATTGGAATGGAAAGTAAGAGAAAAGAAATAAGGATGTACATTTCACTAAAACTTAGATACATTATGGTGATGATACTCAAGAGAAAAACCAGCTGGTGTATGTGATAAAGAGAGTAATTTCAAGTGCAACATCATGAACACATCACTCCTCAGGATGTAGCATCATTGACCACCAGCCCAAGCATTAGACAAGACTAGCCCAGTGGCAATCCACCCTTGGGGAATTTAAAAAAAAAATAAAAAATCAACAACAACAACAAAAAACAGTAAATATTTGCAAAATACCTACATGCTAATTTCATACAGGATGCACATACAGACCACCAGTTGGTTTTCTGTGGCAGTTAGACTGTTGATGTATATGGCAGTGAGATACTTAATGACAGTTTAAAATTAGCATTAAAGAATTGAAGTCTTATAGCAAGCCAGAACTGTGTTATGAGTTCAGTAAGTATTTTTAGCAGTCTACAGCTATTGATCTATCTAGTGTGAGGCAGACAAATATTATATGAGGTCTTCTCTGAAAGTAATGCCTCCTATTTTATTACTTTGTCCCAGAATATCAGAGGTGGATGTTGGTGGTGTAGCAGTAAAAGCTGAACCTTCCCACCAATATCCCATTACATTTTATTGCTGTGTAACAGATGGCAGCAGAGGGGCACTCTGATAAACTGGTGTCTGACATGGAAATGCATACGAAGCAGAGGGGTGGAATTGAATTCCATCATGCAGGAAGAAATGGCAGCCACTCACAGTCACTGACATTTGTTGAATGTCTGTGTTAGCACATAGAGTGGATGTTAGCATAGCAAGGTGGCAAGTGGTGCATTTCAGCAGTGGCAATAGTGACAGTGGGTCACCTCTGCTAGTACAGATTTTTACAAGTGCAGCTTGCAGGTTCTTGATCATTGCTGGTAAAAATGCACAACTAATAGTGGTCACTATACTGAACAATTGCATTTTGTAGCTGAGAATTTATCCCATCAAATAGCATTATTGTGCCCTTTGTATCTGTTGCAATTTCCATGGAAATAAAAGGAAGGCATTACTTTCAGATCAACTTATGTACATATAGCAGAGTAAAACAAAATGAAACAACTGAAATAAAATACTTTTTAAAATTTAAAAAAAAAAGACATTTTGTGAAGATATTTCTCAAATGGAAATAACTTTTTAATTAACTCTGTTGGTTAGCTTCATTAACAATTTAAAGAAATATCTCTTGTGAAAACACTGTAACAGTGAAGGTTTGACAGAATTTCTCTTCTTTTTCTAAATTATCTGAATGTCTAATATAAATCTCATATTTCATCTTTCCTTTGCTTTATCCCATATCTCTGCAAGATTTCTGAATCAGTTTCAAGGTTTAATAAGCAATTGTTAAAACTGATAGCTTTTACATATTTTCATGATTATGTGCAGATATAGAAGTAATTTCTTTATAAGACAATTGTTTTTACTTATTTTAACTTCGATATTAAGGGTGAGAATTAATTTTAATTTTACAGTTTCACAAAATAGTATCTTATATAGCAACCGTAACATACTTTGAATTAAATCAACCTATAAACCATAAATAATTAAGAATATTTAATGCAAGTTCTGTTTTCTTTTGATAAGAATCATAGAACCTAGAATCCTTAGAGTTGGAAGTGACCTTTAAAATGTCTAATTTTTTTAGCACAGAAGAAATCAAACAGAAATACTGAATCCAATTAATGAAGTCGTGAATACTTTTAACACATGTTCATAACAATTTATTAATGAAATTGCATGTAAATATTCATTAGCTATTTTTAAATAAAACATTAGATCCCAGACAAAAATAAATAAATTGGATGCAAATACAAATTAGAATTACCAGAATGTAGGCACATGAATAATATTTATCAGGGATGACAATGAGGTTGAATTGCAAAATGCTGGTGTGTATGAAACAAACAAACAAAAAAGTGTGTCAGCAATAATTTTCAATTTCCAATGGTTGGAAAGCTATACTAATTTTATTATTGTCCACTAGTAACAACAAAAGATGTCTTTGCCATTACTTCAGAATCAGAATCCATTAGTTACAGAATCACAGAATCATAGGAGTTGAAAGCGATCTCTGTAGATCACATAATTCAGTGCCCCTGCTGGAGACAGTTGCCTACAGTAGGTCACACATCCAGGCTGGTCTTGTATATCTCCAGAGAAGGAGAACTCACAACCTCCCTGGGCAGCCCCTTGTAATCCTCTCTGACCCTCACAGCAAAGTTTTCCCTCATGTTCATATGGAACTTCCCGTGTTCCAGTTTGTGCCCATTGCCTCTTGTCTTGTCACTGGGTGCCACTGAAAAGAGCCTGGCCCTATCCATTCAGCACCTACCCTTTAGATATTTATGAGAACTGTTAAAATCCTCTCTCAGTCTACTCTTCTCCAGGCTGAACAGTACCAGGTGTCAGCCTTTCCTTGTAAGGAAGATGCTCCAGGCCTCTCATTGATTTTTGTAACCCTCCAATGGACTCTCTCCAGTCTTTTATGAAGTAGGAAACACAGAAGTGGACACAATATTCCAGATATAGCCTAACCATGGCAGAGTAGAGGGGAAGAATTCACAATCTTCAGTTCACCTCAGAATAGTATTTTCTTCCTTTGCCACAAGGGCACACTATGGGCTCATAGCCAAACTGTATTCTAACAGGACATCTATGTCCTTCTCCACAGAGCTCCCTTCCAGCAGATCAGGTCAGCGCCTAACCTGTAGTGACATGTACGGTTTTTCTCCTCAGGAAGAAGGCTCTACACTTAACAGCATCCAGAATATACCGTAAAATCACCTTCCAAAGGATAGAGGTGAGCTGACTGGCCTGTGGTTTCCTTCCTCCTCCTTCTTGCTCTCTTTGAAGACGGGGATGATATTGGCTTTCCTCCAGTTTTCAGGTACCATTCTCCATTTCCTTTCATCGATGATAGAGAGTGGTTCATCAATCACTTCTTCCAGTTCCTTCAGCACTGATAATGCATCTCATCCAGTCCGTAGATATATTTGTGTCAAGCATCCCTAGATGATCTCTGTCAAGATCCTTCTTCACCAAAGGGAAGTTTTCCTCTCTTCAGACTATCTCTTATCTCCAGGGCCTGGGATTCCTGAGGGCAAGTCCTTGCAGTAAAGACAGAAGCAAAGAGTTCAAAAATTCAGTGTCCTTTTTTAGCAGGGTACTCACTTCATTCACCACTTTTTCCCAACCTTTTTTTTTCCTATTGGTATACGTACAGAAGCCCTTTTTCTCATTCATATCCCTCCTTGCCAGATTAAATAAGGAAGTCCAAGTGGGCCTTCCTTGTTCAAACCCTACAAGCCCTGACAATATTCCTATATTAGTCCCAAGTTTCCACATTCCATATATTTTCTTCCATTTGAGTTTTCCATGAGCTCCTTGATCATTCATGCAGCTCTCCTT